CCACTCTCCTTTTTAAATTCGAGAACAAATATGTGAAATGTTAAAAACCAGCAAATAAAAAACAATCAAAAATTACCTTGGGAAATTGTTGTTTATCGCCAGTGTTTTTATTGTTGTTTTCACATTTCCCCAATTTGCCAAACAACCTAGGAACAGAAAACAAATTAAAAAGAAATTTATTTTCACATTTTGTGGAAGTGAAATTTCTCATGTTTCTGGTGCAAGGTTAAATATAGGAATTAAGAAAATAAATTAACTTGACTAGCTGCTGCATTTTCTCTTGGCAAATTTGTCTGAATATTCATAATCTCTGCGGGGATCTTTTCCGTTTTCGGGGATTTCCTGTGTGTGTCTGCCTGCCTTGGGGGTGAAAATTACTCAAAATTCTAAGGAAAAATAAACAAGACAATTTGTGGCTAGTAAGGAGACAAGGCAAATGTAAATATTGTAAACTTTAAGTAATGTTTACGCAAAAGTAAATCTAGTTTGAATAGAAATTACAGCCAAGTGTCAGAACATACAATATGATTTTGGTTTATGGCTAAAAAAAATATTAAAATATTGTTTGACTAGAGAGAATGTCTGAGTATTGATCGTGTATAAATTACATTAAGCACACAGAGTTTGCATAGCAAATATCGATGGAACTTAATGGATTTATTGCTTACTTTTTATTTACTCTTCAATTATCATTTCATATATGGTCTTGGTTTTAGGACTTTGAACTTAACTCGGGCCTTTCCCACTCCCATTTAATTATTCCACAGCAACCTTTACCTACTTGGCATAATTAAATTAAAGAAAACATTTAGCAAGTGAAAAGTTTCCCATAATTTCCTTCAATTTCTTGATTGAATTCCATTTTTCGAGTCAGTAAAAAAGGCCACTGAACCAATATCGGCGGGGTCATATCTATTATAGCATAATGCCGCGGCGACCTGAGCACAATTGATTGATTTTCCCCGCCGGCTGGCACATCCGCTACCGTTCCGTTCCGCCCCCCTGGCCCTGCCCTGCCACCACCCCCTTTAGTTCCGCCCACAATTCACGTGCCGCTTGCTTTCTGTGCCACACGGACAGCCCCTTCCCCATTGTCAGATTGACTTTTCATTTCGTTTGAAGCTTTTTCGGCTTTGGGCCCCGAGTAACAAGGTTAAATGATGGCCAAAAGAGCAAAAGATGCAGGGGGAAGGGCGCCAAGAGAACTGAGCCACTAGGCACTGAGTAAAATATGTATTACTATCAGGTGTTATATTTAATTGAATGCAATTATTGTTTCTGATAATAATATTTAAATAAACAGCAATTAAATCAGGGGCTTTTAATATTTAATAATTTTTAACATATTAGTAAAGATTTATAGAATTCACAAACTTAATCTTCATCTTTTCAAGTTTTTAAGAAAAGGTTTATAAGAAGAACATAAGCCTAGACTACAGCTTTTACTATAACTCAAGTGTAGGCTTATATTTTTAAGTGTTTCTAATGCTACAAAATATGTATTTAAATTATAAAATATTTCCGTTTAAATCTTAAAAACAGCTGATTCATAGCTGTCAAATCAGAAAATAAAAATCATAATGAATGGATCGCAAGGCGGAAAAGTGAAGAGAACAGCTGCTGATGATCAATTTCCCCATCGGGGTTCGAAAGCGAAAAGTTCAGCAGTCAATAAAGTGGAATGGGCGCTGTAAACATATTTCTGCTTTTGCTTTCGCAAAATTAATGCGTAATTTTCATTGTTCGATTCGCTTGCGCATTGCACTTGTTGTGTTCCGCCGCGAATATAGCTCAGATATCGGTGTTTTCGAAAAAATACGATTTCTGCTTAATAGTCTTTTGCCAAAAATGTTTTCTTTATTTTTATTTTGACTGCTTTCTTTTGTTTTGGTTTTAATTCTGTGTATTTTTTTTTTTCTTCTTGTCACGCGCACGAGGCGCTGATTGGCGGGGCGTTGGGGGTTTACGGGGTTAAGGCAAAAGAATGCCGCCGTCGGGTGACGAAAGCAATAATATCGAGACCAAGCGAATGGCCAAAAGAAAATTCTCTTCACAGAAAGTAGGAAGCAATCGAGGAAGCCTTCTCTTTAAAAACATTAAACAAAAATAAGAGAAGAATAAAAAAATATGGGGAATTAAAACAATACAGTAAAAATTAATTGGGTTAAACAAATGGAATTATTGAACCCCAAAAATAACAAACATAAACAAAATAATGGGTGAAATAATAAAATAAAAATCCAATGCATAAGTTAAATAAGTTAAATTACTTTAATTACCACCTACAAAATTGGAAACAGTTGTTAATTTTCAAACTAAATAAATTTACACTGTGCACAAGGATTTTAAAAAATTAATTTAACTTCAAATTGAAGTTTTATTTTAAAGAATGAACTATATGTTCATTTAAGGAATGAACTATGTGTTCATTTAAGAAATGAACTATGTGTTCATTTAAAGAATGAACTATGTGTGGCGTGAAGTAGCATTATTATGTTTATTACATTATTATCTAACTTTTTATTTAATAAACAATTACTTACATTTATTATTGCTTATACTTTTATACTTTGTTCTTTAAATTTTGATTTTTATTTTATTAATTCTCCAATTATTCTCTTTATTATTGTCATTTTTCACAATTAGTTTTTATTTCTTATTTATTTTTATAATTTTTCTTTCATTTTTCATTTAATTTTTACATATTTGTAAGACATACAAAAAGTATAATTTTGTTTTATAAACATAAGATTGTCGAACTTAGCTGATCAGACTGTAGCAAAAAAAAAAGCCGCACGGCATTCACAAGGTCTTTTGTTTCTCCCCAAACCCCACCAAGTTATTTTTTTCGGCTGGCATCTTATGTCTCTTAGCTTCTCCTCTTTGCGTTTATCTCGTTTCTGGTTCTAAGTAGTCAGGGGCGGTGGCTAGGAGGGGTGATTCGGTTGCTGATGTTGATTCTTAGGTGACACACACTTGTATTGACGAATGCTCTAATTGAGTTTGATGGGTTGACGACAATATGCTTTTGTCTCAGCGAGTTGATTTGCCTCTAGTCAAGGTTTTCTTCTCATATGTTTTATTTCCTTAATATTTATGCATATATCGGAAACTTTTACACAGGGAAAATATGGATTAAAAACGTGTCTTAGATAAATGTTTAAAGTGAGAACAAGTATGTCACTGAGATTAAAAAAAGAATATTCAATTACTAGTTGCTAACCAAATAAAATACAAAATTTGGATGTTGCGCAACATCTTCGTATCAACATTTCCTTTCCTCTGCCTTCAGCAGTGTTTCATTTATAAATATAATTTAATATTTTAATAAATTTATAAATGTTTTTAAATAATAAATAAATGCAAATTGTAACCAATAATTACATTCCTACTAAGCCGCTGAGGTAAAATTTTTTTATAATTTTCCAATATTAATTTCCTTATTAAAAAACTTAAATTATAGTTTCTGTGTAGGAATATGGAAATGTTTTCAATTTGTATAGAAAAATTATATGTAAATTGTTGTTGATTCCTTTGTGGCTTTAATCTATTCTCCGTAGCCAATCTGGCGACCAGCCCCGGGGCACTCCACCCCTGCAAAACCACCCCCCCCCCCTTGCACGCGCTGGCAAACAACATAATTAGCATAAGGCGAAAATGAGACACGTTTGACATAAATGAGAGCAGAGACACACTTTACGTATTCCGCAGCTGATTGCTGACAATATATCTCTCCGATTCTCTCCTGCTCGTGCCTTATCTCTGCATGTGCCTTCCCCGCCCCAATTATTATCTCTTGTTCAGGTGGCCTGAGTTTTTTCCCTCTCTGTCAGCAACTCGCTTTGTTCGTCATCACATTGTTTGGAAGCAATTATAAATTATTATCAGTTTTTTTTTCATTGATTAAATCGATATATGTATATAAATATATATTGAAAAACGCAGCTAATTGGAATTGTTATGTGATTGAGATCTGTATCAAGGGGAAAATAATGCATATGTGAACGTAGAGCCATTGATAATACATTGATAAGGCAATATAATATTAATAAAATGTATAAACAATTTTCTAGGTAAAAACAAGTGAATTTCCCATGACAAAACCATAGGAATTTCAGAATTAAGCTTTTATCTATATAAACGTGATTTAGTCAAAAATCCGTTTTATTTGGCTAATATGTTTCAAAACTTTTAAGTTTAGAGAAGGGAGAAGAAGAGAAATGAGCCTTAAAAATTCTGAAAAAATCTAAAGCCTATATTTTTGATTTCTTTAACTCTAGAAATTAAATACAATTTCCCCGAAGTTCAATAAAAAATAAAAAGGCAAAATCCTCCGGTATTTCTTATCTTTATAAAGTTCGTAGAAATGTTTTTCTACATAATTCTTCATAATTTAAATGTTATCTCTACAAGCAAAAAAAAATGTAAACATACAAAAAACAACATACATACATACAAACATTATTAGAGCTATGAAAATATTCCCAGCAGACAAAGATCGGACGGTGGTCGGATGGAACCGAAAAATGTCAGCTATAAATATTAAATACGGACAAAGAATCGGACTTTCCGCATTAGTTTCGCTAAATGCCCAAAAACTTACGCGCAAAAGGACGAATAGCGGACGAGTATCGCGAATTCTCAAAATTATATCCGCTAATTGATGTCGTAAAAGGTCCGCAATCGAAATCTTCATTCAGATTCCGAAAATTAGAGCATTTTCTGCCACAAAACCCATAGCATGGTGATTTTTTTTATTACCGTTTATGAGACTGAATCGGACGTTTTGAAATCCGCAAAACTCTCGATTTCTATATCATAAACGAGGTTTTTGTCTGCTGGGTTTTTAGAGCTCTTAAATATCCTTATGTAATATGGCGCTTAGCTTGTGCTTTTCCCTAGAAACAAAAGAATAAATTACCAGATAAGGCTTACGCATTAAAAGATGCTCCATTTGGCCTACATATTAACCCAGATTTTTTCCCCGTTTCCAATTACAGGCCACTCTGTACAACAAAAGTGCCAGCGAAGTGGGCAGCCTGATCTCGGCCAAAGTGAACGGAGCCACCCCGTTGGTCATCTCATGCCGCAACGGACATTATGACATTGTAGAATATCTATTGACAAAGTGTCGGGCCAACGTGGAGCAGGTGGGTTCCGTCAGCTTTGACGGCGAGCCCATCGAGGATGCCCCACCGCTGTGGTGCGCAGCGGCCGCCGGCCACTTGGGCATCGTCAAGATGCTCGTACGCCGGGGGGCGAATGTCAACAGCACCACCAGGACAAATTCCACACCGTTGAGAGCCGCCTGCTTCGACGGACATTACGAGATCGTCAAGTATCTGGTGCACCATGGAGCGGGTAAGCCGAGGATAGATAAATCTTATGGAATAGTTGGTGATTACCTGATCTCTTGCAGACTTTGAGGTGGCAAATCGACATGGGCACACCTGTCTGATGATCGCCTGCTATAAGGGCCACTTCCGCATCGCCCAGTATCTGCTCTCCCTGAATGCAGATGTCAATCGGTGCAGCGTCAAGGGAAACACGGCGCTGCACGACTGCGCGGAATCGGGATCCCTACAAATCCTACAGCTGCTTCTCAAACACGGTGCCACCATGGACGTGGACTATTATGGAATGACTCCGCTGCTGGCGGCCAGTGTAACCGGTCATATGCCCATTGTGGAGCACCTAATCACGCTGCCCTGTGTGAGCAGGGAGTCAAGGATTCATGCTCTGGAGCTGCTGGGGGCCACGTATGTGGATCGGAAGCGGGACATGGCTGCGGCACTCTCATTGTGGCGTCGAGCGCTTGAGGAACGGGCTGTGGAGCCGCCGCTGGTGAAGAAGGTGCAGGAGGCAGTGCCAGCATACGAGATGGTTCGTGAGGTAACCAGTGTGGAGGAGCTAGAGGAAATGGTTTTTGACCCGGACGAGATGCGGATGCAGGCTTTGGTTATAAGACAGCGCATCCTTGGACCCACGCACCCGGACACCAGCTACTACATCCGTTTCAGGTTTGAATGCGATGAGTTTTCCAAGTTCCACCGTGATTTTTGAGTGTTTCAATGACCTTTTTCAGGGGTGCCCACTACGCGGACGCTGGACGCTTTGACCGATGCATCGAGCTCTGGTCATATGCCCTGACCATGCAGCAGAAGATCCTTCAGCCGCTCAGTCCGATGACGCAATCTTCCCTACTGTCCTTTGCGGAACTCTTCAGCTTCATGCTGGTCGAGGCCGGTCGCCTGCTGCCAAGGGGTCGAGTGGTTCCGCCCATCGAAGCGGACGGTATGCTGACGATCTTCTACAAGGCAGTCAAGGAGGTGGAGCGCGGTCAGGCCTTTACGCTGGAGCAGCAGAAGGACCAGCAGCAGCCGCAGAAGCAGCTGCCGACCGACAAGACCGACAAGTCGCCATCTTGCTCGGCATCCTCTTCCGCCTCCTCAGCCTCATCCACCTCCTCGACGACGCTGCTTTCGGCACACCAGCACGATTGCAATCACGATCCGAATGCCCTGAGTCGCACCATGACAAGTGCCATTCACATAGGCTGTCTGCTGAGCTCGCTGCTGGACACCGAGACCCTGACCCCGGAGATGCGTCGCCAAGTCATGGGTGCCCTCTATCGCCTGAACCGCTTGAAGGTGCGCGTCCGGTTCGACCGGACTGCCCTGCACTACGCCTGTTACCGGGAGGGCACGCTGGCCGGCCGCTATCCCTCCTGCCAGTTCCCCTCGGTGACGCTGGCGAAGGCCCTGCTGGAGGTGGGAGCAGATCCGAATGCCATCGATGATGCGGGCAACACGCCCCTGCACTTGGCTACCATGCAGCCCTATGTGGAGACCCTGTCCCACACATTGCTGGAAGGCGGAGCGCATTTGGTGAGTATACAGTATCAGCTAAGAAGTCAAAATGTTTGCTAAAGTATTGCTTACCCTTTCAGGACACCAAAAACCACGCTGGCGAGACATTTGAGAGCCTGCTGGCCCCCACGCCGATGCATAAGATCATCGATCCCATGAAGTATACGACGCTGGCGTGTCTGGCAGCAAGGACGATCAAGAAACATGAAATCAGATATGAGGGCACGGTGCCGGCTACGCTCTACGAGTTCATCGAGCTGCACTAGAGGCCAGGATCGGGACCGAGGACTGGACGAGAGTCAAGCACTCAATTCACTCAATCGCTCAACCGCCTGCCCGCCCGCCATCCATTAAATAATACCTAGACTACTACTAAACGACTACCGTCTACACACACTGTATATTTAGAGATGGAGAGAGAGTTCGAAACTATGCTGAATGAAAGTGGAAACGGACTGGAAACTGATTTGTGATGTTAGCAAGCGAAGTGCCTGGATTCGACGGACGACCGATCAGGCCGAAGAAACGACGACGAGCGTCAAACCACTGACAACGATAACAAAACAGAAGCCACTACAATGAAGCAAAAACCAACAGCAACTAACGAAGGAACAATGCAATGAAAACTTCTGGAACAGATGACCTACTGTCTTTGAATTTTGCTTTGCTTTGCTTTGCCAAATCTGTTGCATACTTTGTTTTTGTAATTATGTGTTCTTGCTACTTTGCTATATTATATATGAATTACGGTTAATACTGAATACTGAATGTACATGAAATATATATATATAAATGACCCTAAGCCTGGGCGTGATTGAGCAGCTTAATATTAATTATCCGGCACCCAAGGCCGGCAACTCCTCAAAGCTGCAGCGACCACGCCCAAGCCGAGGAAAACCAAAAATAACTGAAAAAAAAAGAAAACATACATAACTACCGGCCACCAACCTAGACTCTCTCACACACACACACACAAGTGATGCGTTTTGTTTATAAACGAGAAAACTTAGTTTTGGAAATATACAAAATGTAATTAACAAAAATGAACTATTTGGTTTTTACGTGGAGCCACCCCCAAAGCACTAACTTAAAGGATATTTTTGTAAAAAAAACACACTTAAATTATATGAAAAATTACACTGATGGCTAGAAAAAGTGTACGGTTCTTGGAGAAACTAGGCAAAGTTGCTGAATATACTGTGTAGAGCAGGTTAAGGCTTAGTAAATGTATCTGAATATTATTTTTAGAAATTGAGTTTTAGAAAAATAGTAACTAGTTAACATTTATTGATGAAAAAATGGCTTTCCATAAGCATAGAGTTTGATTTTGAGTTAAGGGCGTTGACCTTTCTGATGGTCGTTTACATACACATATTCTGCAAATTTCAGGAAATGAAATAATCATTGCAGAATGAGCTCCTCTGAAAAGCATGTATAGAACATAATTTAACAAAACGATTTATGCAATAAAAATTCGATTTTTTGAAAAGTTCACATGGGTCAACTCCCTTCATACTTACCCATCCGGAATTTATTAGTAAATTAAAAGATTTTAACTCACCTATTTAAGCTCTAGAACAGCTGAATGTTGAACACAACAAAATATCTCAAGTAGGGAATGCAGCAAAAACCAAGTCATTAACACTTTTCTAGCCCACAATGTGTAATGAAATGCAGTTTGACAATATACTCAATGCAAGCGTCTAACTATTGTTTATCTATGTTAAGCTATGCAAATGCTGAAATAGCAACCTTAGCCATATAAGTCTTGGGGAGTGGATAAAGTCGAATTTGGCACTCCTTCATGGAGGGAGAGCAGGCTTTAATCTAAAATGTGTGTGTTTGGCTAACGACATTGTGCAACAAAATGTTCTTTTGGAGTTTGTAGCTGTTAAAAAAGAAATATTAGTGTTAATTATAAGTTTCTTTTTTCATATACTTAACGTTTCGAAAAATAGTTTTTCATTTTAAATCTGGTTTTAAATAGTTTCACCGACAATACCTCGAGCTTACGTCAGCTTCAATATTTCGAGCTTAGCTTATAAATACAAAAAATCATATTTTTAATTTAATAAATTAATCACACAGCAGTTTAACAAAGTTCTTTTTGTTGCACAGTGTTCTAGGTTCGCCAAGGAGAGTGTCTATAAATATATATATGTCTGACTCTGATTGTCTGTATGTATGTTTGTATGTAAAACCTTAATTTAAAAAACACTTTCGGGACAGAAATAAAACTGATTAAATTTAAAAAAAAAAACGGCTATAAAAAGGTATTTCCAACAGTACACTGCTCATAGGCAACAGAAATGTTTCTTCAAGCGGTTGGTTTCCTTTTCTTGGTGGCTTTGGGACCCGTCCTGGCGGCTTCCCAAGGCATTGAGTCCTACGAGAACTATTACAACGAGATCCATGTGGACGACGACCAGGCGGAGGCCAAGACCCGCAATGCCTTGCAATCACCGCTCCAACGTTGGCCGGGCAACAAGATATACTACCGGATCTCGGAGGACTATAGCGAGCAGGAGGTGGCCAATGTCCGTACGGCTATGGCGAGTTTTGGTGAACAAACCTGTGTGCAATTCGAGGAATTCGAGGGCTCTCCGCCCGGGGGAAAGCGCTATGTGACCTTCAAAAAGTCACCGAATATGTGCGGCACCCGTGTGGGCTATCAGCCGTTATCCTTCGGCTCCCACGATGTCCTTTTGAACGAGAGATGCCTCACCATGCCGGCTGTAATCCAGCACGAAACTCTTCACCTGATGGGACTCTTCCACGAACAAAGTCGTCCCGATCGCGATGAGTACGTGGTCATCGACTACGATAACATTCCGCGGAAGTACTGGTCACAATTCATGGCCCAGGATCGCACCACCACGTTCAATGTTCCCTATGACTATGAGAGTGTCATGCACTATTCGAAGAACGCCTTTGCCAAGGATCCGTCGAAGCCAACAATTCGGGCCTTAATCAATGGTGAGGCCGTGGAGAGGGAAATGGGCCAGGTGCGGGGACCTTCAGAGGGCGATTGGGCCAAGATTCGCATAATGTACAAGTGCTAGATGGGGGTTTGCGAGGACTATGATTGGTAATTAAAATATGTGGCTTACTGAAATGTAATCTTTTAATGGGTGATATGTGGTATGCTTTTAGGAGGATATTTTCATAGCTTTAAAATTCATATTTTTCTCTAAGAAAAGTGCTTACTTTTCATGCTCCAATTTGTAAAGAAACGGACTGAAATGTTTTTCTTCCATTACATTTCCATCGGATGTCGGAAAATCCTCAACCTTCTGCTTCTTTTAATTCAGTTACCATTTATCGGCATTTATTTTATGGACTCACTCTCCCCCACCCCTCCTCAAAGGGAGGGAAGGCGTTTAATGCCAATCGTTCAGGGCCAGTTAGCTGGGAAAGGCTCTTGAATAAAAAAGACCAGAACCCAAAACGAATGCATTTGATTTCGCCGAAGTGCAAGTGTAAGTGTCAGTTAACTTCGCAGACAGACGAAGGAGCCGAGCCGCTGAGGCAGGAAGATGGGACTTTTGAATGCCCAAGAATGGCCGTGGAATGGATTGGGCAGTCGGCCAGCATACAATCCAAATCCCAGGCACTTAATGTGCACTAAGTGCTTAAGCAGGCCGAGTGTCTGGGCCTGCCTATTTGAACTGTCTCACCCTGCTCCCCTTTTCATTCTTATTTTTCTTTCTAGCACCACCCACCTTAACAGAATCTCCACAAAAGTGTTGCCAGGTTTATAGGGTAGGAATCTATTTAACGTAAAGGAAACAACAAAATATTTAATAATACGCTATTGCATTATTGCTTAAATTTTAAAGAAAATTTTCTATATAAAGATGGGTTACTTTTAAGCGTAAAAATAAAAAAACAAAGTCTCTTGGCGCCAAAACCTAGAAAATTTAAGGAAGACATTTTCTATAAATATATATAAATCTTTCGAAAATATTATATTTTTTACATGAGTTTACATGAGTATATTTTATAAGCTAGCACACACCTTTTTTATTGTTAAGTCCTTGTCTTATTTATGTTATTTTTTTATGGTTATTTTTAGATAAAACTTCTTAGAATAGAAATTGAATTTATTTATTTATTTGAACCTATTTACCTAATCAATTATTTTTACATAGTCCCAAAGTTAACCAAGACGAATACCTGACATTGACCTTTTAAACTTGGTCTTTCACCCTTTTAAATATTTAAAGTATTAGGTTTTATTTTGCGACATTTTAAAAAGGTGTCTGTGCGTGGGTTTCCGGTTTATTGTTTGAAATGAAAACCAAATGTTTGGCAAACACAGGATATGGGAAATATTAAAGTTAAGTGATATTATTTTAAATTTTAAAATAGCATGAGATAATTAAGTATACATTTTTAGGCACTTCTGTAAAGTTTTAATTGTTTGTTTAAATAAAATTAAATTTTAATAAAATGGCTCAAAGGGAAGTCTTAATATTTAAATTTCTCAAAAACTAATTAAGTATTTTACATTGCGTATTCAGAATAATTTAAACAATAAAATTTTAAAGTGAAAAAGTATTTTAATAATATTTAAAGCCCCATTTAGAAGGACAAATTCTTTAAAGGATGTCAACAAATGGTCGTAGAATGCTGCGCCTAAGAGAGTGGAATACTTAAGAGAGGACCTACTGGCTCTCGGGAAGTTCGAAAAAGAAGTTCGGGAGTGAGAGAGTAACGACTGGAAGCGTGCTCGCAGGACGAATGTATTTGGCCCCACTGTGCTAGGCGAAAAAGCTCGCTCTCTCGCGCGACGAGAGAAAGGGGAAAACGGGAGCTTTGGCTTTGGAGCTCGCTTTTCCGTCCGATTCCGTTCGTGTGGCTTTCAGTGTATTCAGCGCAGTCGTCTCGTTCGGTTCGTTTTGCACGGTGGAAAGCGGCGGAAAGTCCTGTTCGGAGGACATCCTCAATATACCACACAAACACACATACACGCGCCCTCAGAGCAACACACACACGCACGAACGGGTGCGGTAGTCGAAAGTAAAAGTTGTTCAATGTGCAATAACGGTAAATAATAAATGAGCCAATGTGAGATATACGCACGCAATGTGAAAAAAAGGATAAATATATGTATATATATACATATAAGAGGGAAAAAGCATACGGAAAATGGAGCCATGCGTGCCAGGATGCAAAATCAAATATGCAACACTCCAGTGAAATATGAAAAACCGAAGAATGTGTGCCAAAGTGCCAGCGATCCGTGAATACTTAAATACCAAACTAAAATACCAAACTAGAAAGGACCTCAAGTGCATCTGCGCCAGCTGATCCCCAAGCTCAGCTCTCCACCTGCCAAGGCCACACGTCGGATGTGGAATATACATAAAATAAAATACAAATTATATCCAAAATACAACAATAATAATAATAATTTTAATAAATAAATACTATTTATAAATTCCTGATTATAGATAGAAATTTGAGTATTAAAATATTTAATTGAAATAAAATTAGATTAATTTTCCCAGTGCACAAAAAATATTATTCAACTTTGTTTTCCTCAAGTTTCCTTTTTGGTGGCAAAGGTCGCCCTTTTACAGAGACCAAGAATTTAAGAAATAATTATGGAAATATTTGTGTTTTCCTTTTAAATTTCGCGGAAAATGTTGCGATTTTTCCCTTTTGAACTTTTTTTTTTTTTCGTTGCCCTTCGCGGTTCCCTTTGGGACCATAAATTAGGGTCGCATTTTGCTTTACCAGAAATATTTGCATAAAAAAAAGGGGAGAGGCGAGAAATGGCTTAAACACAGGAATCACACGGCTGAGATATCCTTGATATACGTTAAAAAAGGTCCAAAATCAAATTATTTCTGCAGACTTTTTCGTGTGAGATAAGCTCAATATTAAAGTCCCTTTTATCAGGCAGATACAAAAAAAAAGAATTGAGTGAATAAAAGTAAAGAAAGAAAATTTGAGCCCCAAAACTTTTGATTAAACTTTAATTCAGTTAAAATTCAATTAATCAACAAAGCAAAACCACAAGAGGACAAAAAAAAAAGGACGAAGCGGTAAGGTAAGCCCGATTAATTTTATGAGCTAATTATCCGATAATTTCTTATTTTATTGTCTAGTTAACGCCGATAATCGTGTAATGGCACCCGAATAGCGTTCGGGAAAAAGGCAGGAAAAATCCACACAATTGTGTCATTGTTCGGTCGGGGAAATTGAGTGGTTTTGGGCGGTGGTCTGAGTGGGTGGGTGGAAGCAACGGGTGGTCCTGCTGTTGTATTTGTTTATTGTTTCATCATTGTTGTTGTTCCAGTGTGCTGTGGTCAGCGGTTGGTCAGCGAAAGTGGTGGCTTTCGGCAAGGATGGGCCAACGATTGTCAACTCAATTTAATTATGAAAATTCCAAGAATCGTGCTGGGTATGGACACACGTGCCTAAACACACACAGGTGGGCGTCGGCTTCGGCTTCCGAAAGGATTGAGATACATTCACTTTTGGATTATGCTAATGACAAGGCTGAGTCCTGCTAATCAGAGTCCATGATGGACAGCGTATGATAAACATGTATTTTCAAGGTGGCTTTGAATGTTAATTAGGCTTAAAGGTTAAAGAGAAATCAAAAGTTAAATGGGGAGAGATTCAAAGGTATAGAGAAGGTAAATTAAAGTAGCTTAATTAGTTTTAGGTGTTTTGGATTAATATTCTTATATAGATTTAGGATTTCGTTTGTAAAACTAGGATTTTCCTTAAACTTTATTTAATATTTATTCAAAAGTTTGTTTCTCTTTAAGGTAGTTTCACAAGTTTGTTTTTATATATGTCTTCTATCTAGGTAGTCTCTCCAGGTAGTCTTCTCTAGGAAGTGATTGCAATACATCGATAACAATATCGAGTCCACAGTTTCTTAACGGTATTTACATTAGATTATTTATAAAATTTACACGTTAGACCTTTAGTACTAAGACAATGCTTGTAGCTGTAAACTAAAAACACTTCTATAGTTTTAATTCTAAATATATTCTTATCTTGTCTTATTGAATTCTTTCTATGCTACATAAATATCGTACTTACACCGACTTAGCCTCACCGATTATAGAATCAAAATATAAATCACAGAAATCACACTCTTAAAATACTTTTACCTTTTTCATTCACAATTCAAAACCATTATTTAGATTGCTTTAGAAAATATGTTTGGACACTCAGTTGCCCAGTTTGCCGTCACCTTTATTTGCAGCATAAAAAATAGAACAGCTTCTCTGACAAGTTAAATGGGTGCTTCTTTATGCAAAAACACACAAAAATGAAAAAAGGTGAAGATTTCATTTACCTCTTGCTTCGCCAAGGCCATGTCTTACGGCTGGAAAATTGAACTTTCTGCTCCAGAAAGTTACCCAAATACATAAATTATTTTTATTGTACTTAACCTTTTTCGTTGCCTTGACTTTCCCCACACATTGTCTGCCCCAAATCAGCTTAAGTCCCCCCAAAGAAATTCATAAGCTTCCTTTAACATGCGAGCTTCATATATATATGGGAATATTTATAAAATGTTTGTGTGAGCAACCCAATTGCGGAGAGTTGCAAAAAAAAAAAATGAAATAAAGTGGGGCGCAAACAAAAGCCCTTTCAATTTATATATTAAACTTTATAAACCCAAAGCCAAAGAGTAAATAAACTCAAATATATTTGCATGACAGTCTGACAAAGCTGAAAAAAGAGCTTAATTTGCTTTTTTCCCGAAACTTCAATTAAATTTGTATAATAAATTTAAAAAAAATATATCTATATAATCATTTGGCTAACGATTACATTAGCAATCTAACCATGTAGTAAATTTTAAACATGTTTTCACTATTTTTTTTTTTTGTTCTCGCCTAGTTTGCATTATAATAAAATCCACTTTCTCTCAATTACATTTTACCGCTTAATATATTTTGAGGCCTTTTTAACCCCAAATTGCTCTCTGCTCGCGGTTGCCGTTTAATCAGCTTGCAATATATTAATTTTTTGCACTTTACCTTCAACACAAAATTTGAATATTTAATGCAAATGCCATACAAAGCACTCCATTGTGCTTACTTTACTATATTTATTCAATTTCAGTTTTTACGAAAATATGAACACAACTTTGAATGAATGAAATATTATGCAAATATTTAACAAATAGCAGGAAATCAAAAGCAAACAAAAGAAGAAAATTGTTAAGCGCAAAAATAATAATAGAGGTGAATGGCAATAGCAAGACATAATTAAAATACAAATATATATATGTATATGTTTGTATGGGTGTTAATCAAACATAATTACTCTGGTCATGCATATTTTATTAATCGGCTGGAATGCTGTCCCCATCGTGTCCCACTTTTGTTTGACGTGACAGCTGTCGCTTTAAATGTCGACGCATTGATGGCCCATCAAAGGACGAGTCGATGCTTCAATGGTCCTTGCCATGGGATAAACTCATCCCTCGGCCCTTCGGGGCTGTTGTTTGGGTGGCGGCTACTCACTTTTTAATGGAAATTATAATGAGACGTCGAGCTTTAATTATGCATGGCACTTGGACTTGGGTTCAGGGATACTGGGAGAAAAAACTGAATACAATTTTGATAGTATTTACGGTTGTTTTACATTATTTTACAATAAAAAATATATTTATATTATTAAAAGTTGGATTCTTCATATGCCAGGTAACTGATATCATATTAATGATTTATTAAAATAAATAAAAAAAATATTTAAAAAGATTTTATGAATAAAATTTGCAGTTTTTCAAGCTTAGGGTCAATTTTTAGTAATTTTTTTTCCTAAGATATCCCTTTTTTTTATAATTTTGCAACATTTTAGATGCTTTTAAGTTGCTGTTAAGATCGATTGCCATTATATATTTAAAAAATATATAAAAATTAATTTTTTTTAATTTTTTTTGTGTGAGAGTTAGTTAAAGTAGGGGCTTGTGGGCGTTGGGTTAGCCGGCCACGCCCTGGCACTTACAACTTAATGCCCGGCCATCAGCGTGACGTGTTTAACCCTCGACGGACCTTGGCACTAATTAAAACTAACCACCGGCAGCAGCAGCCACACAAAAAATGCTTGAGAAAAAGGGAAAAATTACGGCAGGCAGGCATCACCTTGAAGCCAGGAGGAGCTTTTCCTATGCCACTTTTCGACAGGTCTCGTTCTCGTTCTGATTCTCGTTCTCGTTCTCCCCGCCACATCCATTGTTGACCGGGCAAAGTTTTGTGGCACATTTCCCTTGGATTTGCCACGCATTGACGCCAGGCTGGACCATGGATCTCCACGGAGGTGGAGGTGGATTCAGAGGCTGTGCTGCATATTTTGTCAAGCTCTGACATTGCACTTGATGACTTTTCCTACCCCTGTGGACCTCCGATCTCCGCCCCTGATGGACGAATGGAATTTTTTCGCAACTTTTAAAGTGCCATGGGTGGTGGTAGGTTGAAAAGTTTCAGCTCGGGGGAACTCGCAGCTCGACAGTTTTAAATGAAACTTTTGCTGTAACTTATACTGTGACGACGACGAGTCCTGTGCCCGGGTTTTGTTTCATTCTGCATTCCATTTTTTTATATTTTCGTCCGTTTCTCTCCTTTTGTTTAACGCTTTGTGCCCCATTATTTTGGATGCTGTCAGGGACATTGTATCTCTCGTTGTCGTTAGTTTGCAAAAATGAATAATGAAAGTTGTAAATAGGCATAATACGATCAGCGCTGGGAGACATTAGCGCAAAGTTTTTGTCGGAAAATGGAATGAAAGTGCTCTCCAGGGTCGTGTCCAAATGAATGCCGAATCGAGTGAAAAGTTATCTCTGCATTAGCGATGGAAAGAGGACCTGCGCTTTGCCGATCGTGAAAATTGAAAGGATTTATGGGAAAAGTTTCGAGCCGCAATAAGATTAATGTTCCCGAAAGTTCTAATATAATTTACGGCTTTTTAAAATATGTTTTCACATTTATTTGTAGTAAATGAGAGCAGTTTTGTTTGGGTTTACAAAGTTGCCAGGACATTATGCTATTTCCATATAAATTTTAAGGAACTTTAGACAATGTGTTGGGTTAGAAAATAAGTGAAGTTTGTTTATGAAGCTAAATTTCATGATATACATTCTGTTTTTCAATTAAAATATTTGTATTTCCATACATTTTCTACTTGAAACTCCATAATATTTTCAAGCTAATTAAACAAATGCACTGCCTTTTCTTTAGCCAATTCCCCTTGTTCCAATCATCTAAAGAATTTCCGAAAAGACAAAATTCCCAGCTGGACAATTCAGTTCCCTAACGTCTGCAAAAATTAGAAATTCCACAACTCTGCCTCGGGCGCATTTAATTTATTATTTGTTGGCTTTAATAAAAATCACATTACGATATTGCCAGCGCAGCCCGAATTTCTGCGAAAAAAAGGAAACAAAATAACAAGAAGCGAGGGGAGAAACTGTTGTCGCCAGTTACTGGAAACACATTCATAAAGCAAACAGAGCCAATCCGGCAAGACAGACAAGCCACGCGCATCCAGATAATATAATATGTATAGGAAAAGAATATACGTCCTTGTTTCAGGTGGAGAGGGCGGACAGGCAGTGGGTGGGCAAGGACAACAGCACGTGCCGGCGAACGAGGGGCACAAACACAAACGCACAAATTTCCATTTATTTTGACTTTGACGTTTGAATTTGTAATGAAATTCCAAACATTTTTAACGCCCCAAAACTGTTTTCCTCCTCAGGCAGCAGTCGGCAGGCTGAATCCCGGATGGCGGACAACGGCTAATGAAGATGAAGTGATAGCCAGCCGGAATTGTGTTCCAGTCGAAATTAAATAGAATATAAATCGCTGGGAAAATGGCGGTGATTTGTCAGCATCCATCGAGCGGAACCAATGCAAAGTAGTTAGTCGGCCCAACTAGAGTCACACTACGGAAAAGGGACACCTCCAAGGATATTCGCCCTTTGGCCTCCTTTTTTATTTGGCTGTGCGGCAATTTCACGCATCGCGACAGGATGATGATGATGGCAGGCGCTAATCAGGCCGCCACCAGCCACGCCCCTCAGTTATTCCGCAAACACATTTTCAAATAGGTTTCCCGAGGAGAACCAGCAAGGAGCACAGGAGCAGGGGGAGACGCCACGCCCACTCGCTCGCCAGTGAAATATTATGGCAACTTTTCAAATGGAAATGCGCCAGCAGCAGCAGCAGCAGCAGCAGCAGCGACAGCAACGAACGAATTTAAAGCAACGAGCCACATGCAAAGTTAGGCGGCAACGACAACAACGAGAGCTGGCGCCCTCGGACCCACCAGAAATCAGCGCACACTGCACCCGGCTCTGGCCAGGCTGCTGTCCCAGCTCCACCGCCGGAATCGGAGGCAATCCACTCACTAGCAGCAGCAGTAGCAGAAGCAGCAACACCAGCGGACTTAGTGGCACCATTGGCGCGCACTTGGACTGCAGCGGCTGCCAAAGAACGCTGATAATGCTCAGCATGCTCGTCGTTGTCATCGTCCTGATATCCGGCAATGGAGGTGAGTGATGCACTGAAAGAAAATTTTTGAAAAACATTTAAGCAAAGAGAGGAAAAATCTAAATTTATCCATGAGCCTTGAAGTTTCTGAAATATTGGCCACTTTTAGGGAGTTCAACCAGGAACTATTTTAGGTAGAATTTACTACCCTTCTTCTGTGATTTTAAAACTATTCCCATATTTTTTAAATTTCGCATGGGAGAAGAAACTTCAATATATAAACAGTGTGACTTTTGTGATTAAAAGTAAAAAAATATTGACTTTAGTTTTAATGTAAAGACTTAGAGATTACAGTTCTTAAAGAAAATAACTAAAAAAACATGTCAAGTTCTTTTTTAAAATAACAGAATACAAAAATTATTATATAAAATTATTAAAAAATATTAAAAGGAAAGAAAATAACTTAAAAATCAAATCAATTTATTATATGAAAAAATATATAATAATATATAAACTATTTATAATATTTGTTGAACTTTTTAATCCTGAAAAATCAAACAATTTTAAATGATAAAATATGAATAAATATTATACATTCTATAAGGAAATCAGCTTTACAGAAGAAATACAGACTTAAGTTAATTTGTCTGCCAAATAACATATTTTACAGATTATTATTATTTAAATGTATTATATTATGTCGATTTTAAAGACAAGATTTTACTAAATCTTTGAATTTTTAATGGGAAAATCTCCCTCAAAAATTAATATAAACCTCAATGTAGCCACTGATTTAAAAACTTTTCCATTTTCACTCGAAACTCGGGGAGAAGCTGCATTCTAAATAGTTTTTGCCTCTGCCTTAATTCCAGCAACAAATACTTGGCCTTTTTCCACAGGCCAAGCTCATTTTCCATTCCAATCACTTTTTTTTATGGCCAACAAACAGGGAAAAACGAAAACTTTAATCAAATTTTTGTGCTCCAGTTTCCTTTTTTGCTGTGTGCCTTGGGCCCCCCGCCCTTTGTCCCATACACAAAATTGCAATTGTTGCCAAATTGATTTGACCAATTTCATTTATTGATTTCGATTTTCGATATCATTCATTTTGGGCCGTTGTCATGCCCAAATGAGTCAGCAGAAAAACGCCAAGCCAAGCCAGGCCCAAGAGCCGAGCCAAATCAAAGCGAGCCGGAAAATCGAGAGGGAAAATCTATCAGCATCGAGTAGCAGGAGCCGCCTCTTGGCTTACATAATTTTTCCTCCTTCGTGCCCGGACCCCTTCCTTTTCTTTATATTCTCCTTCTTTTTTCATTTTCCTCTCCCTGTTGTTGCGCCAGCCTTCTGGGCTGCGTTTTTAGGTTAGGTAATTAATTTTGTGTGCCTGAAAAGTCTTGGGAAATCAATGTTTTGGCCAGGCCAGGCCAGCAGCAACTCCCAGGCGATGTGGTGGAATGATGCTTCCACTTTGCTTTGTGGGTGTGCGGGTGTGCGATGTGTGTGTGTTTGGTTCCACCTGCCATTATTTGACTTTCATTTTTCATATGCCGTGCTCCGGCGCTTAATGACGGTCTGCCGGAATTCGGGCTTGGAATCAGAGTCGGAATGCCACTGGAGAGGATTGGCAACGAGTTGAGTCGTCATTAGGTCCTAATGAAGCACTAGATCCATAGATAAAGACCATGCCATAGCTTTGCTTATTCAAATTATTTTCCTCTCCCCGAAAATTCGAGACAGCGGTGATTTGACTTATGGATTTTTACAAAAGTTCTGCAAGATAAAATATGACCTTTTTGGTGATTTTAATATAATTATTCTTGGAAAAATAATAATTAATAGTGTTTGCATCTACATTTAAGAGAAATTAATAATTGTTCAAGAAATTATAGAGCTCTTAGTAATAACAAAGCCACTTCTAAGGCAGCAGAGTCTCTTTAAGACCAGTAGGCCTCAGGCTAATGTCCTTAAGGTTACATAAACTGACCTGTGCCGGCACTAAGCTCATCTATAATTCACTCAAGTTAACCATTGTTTTCTTTTCTTTCCATAAAATAAAACAGAAACAAAAACACAAAAAGAAAATGAAACAGAAAAAAAAATTATCCCGCGGCCATTGAAGCTTGTCCAAGGCCAACAAACCGTATTAACTTGCGGCTTAAATTACCGTTTGGCAATTCCTATAAGTCCTGCTCGCAATTCAAGAGAAAAATCACCTGCCAAAAGGTGAACAAGACGCCGCTGAGTATCCTCGATTTAATTCTGCTCAACTTTTACCCGAGACTGTAAAAGCTGCACAAACAATGGCCAAGGCTCCATGACAAATGGAAGCCTTTAAATACATATTTAAAAAAAATGTAAAATTCTTATGCGAAGCCATCGCGTGGACGGCACACACAAATGATTTTTAATTTTTTAAGTGAATTTAAAAATTTAAGCGTTAGCGTCGTTTCTCTTTTTTCTGCTGATGTTATTGCCAGCTCACCTTAGAAATTAGAGAGACAGTCAAACGCACGCCAGCGAGGGGGACGAGCTAAAAGTTTTGACATTTCAAATGTTTCTGACAACAACATCAACCGCAGAGGAGAGTTCCCCCCTCCGTTAATAATAACTGGGTGGGCGTAAAATTTGAGCAAGCCACAGAAGTCAGGCTTGGGTGGGGGTAGGGAGGCGGGAGACAGGCTCCTGGAACGGAACAAGGACGAAGCTACAGATGAGCAACAGGAAGAGCATGCCCTGCGGTCTACTTGCGCTCAAGTTGCTGACGTTGACGTCGACGTAACAAACCCGGACACAAGACATAGGACACGAGGCGCACAGGACACAGGACACGGGACGCAGGACATAAGACCCGGGACATGAGACATGAACACGGCAACAACTGCCAGTGAAAACAGCGACCCTGGCACATGACTTTCTGATTTCTGCAGGGCGCTTTTAAGCCACAACAGAAATGAAACCGAGAATAAAACAGGAATTTTGAAAAGGAAATTTAAAGTAAAGAATCTTGGATACCCTTTGAATACTAAATATTTTGATAATATAAATGTAATTCTTTTAATTAAACAGCCTTGTGCTTTTACATTGTGTTTTAACTTAAATTATATTTAAATTCCTTTCACAATTTTAACTCAAATTTGAACTGAAATAGTTACTTAGTGTTTAGGGTTATATAAATACTATATTATTATCTAGGAAAAATTAGAAACCTTTATAAAAGGAAAGTACTCTTACTTGAATTTTATAAAATAAAAATAAAATCCTTTGATATTTTATCTCTTACAATACAAAAACGATATGATGCTATAATTATTCTGCAAGTTAAAGTACCCTCTCCCCAAAAGGTACAACAAATATTCCGAAAATGAAGAAAAGAAAAGAAATATTTTCGTTGGTGGTCTAATTTATGTTTGGCAGCCAACAGTTGACGTTTCGGTCTTTTGTCCCAGGCAGTCAATTTATTTTAATTTCTAGCCAGAGGCGTTTTATTTATTATCATGTTTGCCCCCTGCCCCGCCCCCTAAGCGACCACCGCGCCCACACAACAGACAAGGGGTGGAGTCAAGTTATTAGCAACATTGTTTGGGTCTTGCCAATTGAAGGCAGCCGGCGGACCAAAGAGCACAGCCAAACTACTCCGAAACGCTTTGCTTTGCCTGTCAATAGCAGTTGGCTTAGGGAAGAGCGGAAAGGGGTGGAAAATCGTCAGGAAAAGCGAGGGCGGTCGGGATGGAAAGCTCTCTTGCTTTCTCTGCTGAAAGAGGGAAGGAAAGACGAAAACCGGAGCTCGAGCAGTGGAAGCTGGAGCAGATGATGAAGGATATTCGACTTATCTGGCAGGAACATGGCCAACGGGCTAAAGCTGATGCTCAGCTAATAGTTTGGGCAATAAACTGGAGGGGTTGCGGTAGATAGGGACAGTAACGTACACCAGAGAAAAGGCAGGCGAAAGGGAGCTTTGGGAGAAGCATGTGAACATGTGCATGGGTTTTCCTACAGGCGATGAGCCAAGTCGCGTTTTACGTGACCAGATCTTTGGTGGGTTTCTATATTTACATTTTTTAAGATTCTTAGAAGTTTTTAGAGACTTTAAAATATATCTAGAAGTTTGCCGAATTCTTTTAATAATCTGAAATAAACTTTTTATAGCCAAAAGATTTTAAAAATTATCTAAAATTTAAGTAAAAAGTATATATTTATTACTTATGTAACAACCCAGCAGGCAAAAAAAGTTTGTTTATGATATTAAAAACGATAGTTTGGCGGGCTTCAAGCGGACAAAACGTTCGATTCAGGCTCATTAACGATAATAAAGTTGCCATGCGTTTTGTGGCAGAAAATGCGATAATTTTCGAAATCCGAATAAGATTTCGATTGCGGACCTTTTACTACATCATTATCGCAATACTCGCGATACTCCTCCGTTTGCGCGTCCGTTTTTGAGCACTTAGCGAAACGAATCCGGAAAGTCCCATTCATTGTCCGTATTTAATATTTTTAGAGGATTTTTAGCACTAAGTCCGCCCTTTGTTTGCTGGGAAAGTGTTTTTCTACCAAAAATCATTGACTTTTCTGCCCAGTGACTTGTGTGTCACGGTCGCCACCAAGTCACTAGTACGTCCCTACCAGCATCACAGCCAGTAGTCGGTGGCCTGTTCAATGTCTACGACTCCGGGCGAGGGCCAGGCGACGTGCACAACATGTTTAATCTAATAAAGTCGCTAGCTAGCCAGTCTTGCCGGGTTAGCTGGCTCGGAACCATAAAACCGGCTGAGAGGAGAGTGTCATAAAAAGACGTTAGCTGCGACGTAATAAGCGTATCAAGTGCCCCGAGATATATGGCCGGGATATATGCGTGGGTCCGGGTGTATTTGTCGGCGCTTAGCTGCGAGTGGAGCTTAGTTTTTGGCCCAGACGCCCTGGCGTCCTCGTAGCTAAGTGATGGATAAATGCCGGATAAAAATTGCTCGTAACTACGACAACAACCAGTTTGCACACACACACGCAGCCGTGGGGCTGTGCCCGGAAAAACATGAAAATTTGATAAACGAAAAATTGCAAACAAACAAAAAAATGCGGGGAAAATGCTTTTTTTTTTTTGGGTAGAACAAAACAAAAAGTTGGATTTACCTTCAAGCCAGGCAAAACTTTGGTTGCCTTCCCAGAAAAAAATCAAAAAAATATGGAGGGGCAACAAAATACAACAGCAAAAAGTTGGGAAACGTGTGCTCCTGTGTGGGTGTGTGCGTAATTCGCTAATTACCTAAATGGCTGCCACAAAAGGTGGCATGGCATGGTGGCTGTTAAAAGTTGAACCCGAACGAGTTACAAGGTTTCCCAGTTTTCAGTTGTTGTGGCCATCGATTGAAGGACTTTATGGCATAGTTTTTGCATTTGAAACAATTGCGAAAACTAAGCGGAACTTTGGGAATTACCAGATTCTGCATGCGGTATTGATGTACGTTATTAATGGCTTTGTTGAAGTTTGTAAAAATATTAATTTTAAGCAGATGAGTAACAGTTTTTGGAGCTTGATGAATTTTGATTTAGCTTGAAAATATGTAACTAAACTAGTTGGCATAGCCTTTAGTTTCAATCAACATTTCAAGTAGCTCAGATCTTGCTAGCTAAATTTATTAAAACAAATTCATCTGAAAGTTGTCTTTCACAAATCGAATCATAATGGCAAAGTCTTCATTTCCCTTCAAAATCTTCCGCAGTATCTACAAGAATGAGTTCCAATGGTGAGTTCATATGCCAGCAAAGACTTTAGCATGATGCACCAAGTTAACAGAGTAGGAAACATGTATTTCATTCCAAATAAAATCTTTTGGTGTTACTCATCTTGTTCTGATATTGATCTTTGGTTTCTTTACCTTATATAATCTGAATCAAATCCCATTCTATATAGGATGCTGGTCAAGAGCTATGGCCTTTTCTTTCTGGGAGTTTTTCTGGCCAAGGAGTTGACGGGCTTGGAACTGATGCCGGTTTAGTCCTTTAAACCGACTATGTGTTTATATTTACATGCTGTGCAGATCATGAGCTCTTTTTTTGGGAGTTTGTCAATAAACTTGTGGAGGAAGTACATTTCCTGTTATTATAATTAATTTTCTTCGCAAAGACTTTATTGTTTAAAATACTGGTTTTATCGAGCATTATGTGTTGTTAAATATAAGGATTCCAACAAAAATATGGATAAGAGAACAATCATTGAGCAAAGACTTGTATTTGATCCCAACACCGTGAAAAATAAGATTGAATTGAAATCCTTTGGCTAATATCGAGCATTCCTTTTAGAGTTTGGACCAAGCGAGCAGCAGGATAGCCAAGGGCATTGTCAGCCAGCCCCCAAGGTTTGCCTTTCCAGTGGAGCCATTCCTGTAGCCGCAGGCCAGTTGCTTCTCCGCATCGCCCACGCCATATGTGCACTCGTTGTCATAGTAGTTTCCATAAATGGCAAAGGTCAGTAGGTTGGTCAACTCCAAAGATTCCCGCAAGGCAAAGCGAACCTCGTGCTGGTAACTGTGTAGGGATAGAGGGATTTTCATTAAGAATAGATCGTGGTATCCCGGTAACTCACCTGTCTTCAGTGGCTTTCTCCTGCGACCACTCGAACTGGCTGGGTTTTAGGGGCAGTAGGTTGTTCAGCAGGGAGTTGGGGCTAAGCAGGAACTCCCGTGACTCCGGGTAGCTGACCTCGATCGCCAGCCTGGTAAAGGCAACGCGGGGCTGCTGCTCCGCTCCCTCGGTGGGCAGCAACTGGCCACAATCCTCGATAGTTGGACCTGAACAGGCAAACAGCGCACAGTTGCGAATGTAATTGGCGTCCACCCGCTGCTCGTTGCGCCAGCCATCGTAGGTGGCCAGTCGGTAGCTGTAGTAGCTGCCACTGTCTGCCACTAAGGATCTCCAGGCGATGTCAAAGTGACAGCAGAAGTTGCCCTGGCAAAGAGTCCTGTTGACATTGCCAATAACTCTCTCGTCGAACTCAAGTGGCTCTGTTTCGTAGTTCTCCAGGTAGTCGCGTTTCATAAAGTAACTCGAGCTGGTGGCCGCTTGACGAGGTGCCGTAGCTTCCCTCTTGGCTCGCTTTTGGACGGACCTGCTCCTTGTGTACTTGGGCACCTGGGCTACATAAATGGCTCGCTCTCCCGAGCCCTGATTCATCACACTGGTGAGGACACCGCTGCGCCCGTGGTAGATGCCAGAGCCACTGTTGCCCACCGAAGGACGACTGGCTCCGGCTGCCAGTAGGTTCACATCGTTGGAGTAAGCCCAGCCTTCTTGGACTTGAACAGCTGGTGGAAAGAAAACGAAGAATAAGTTACCTGCCCAGTATCAGATTACAGCCACTTAAGGCCCAAGCATTTTTCCCTGCGTATAATCGGTTCAGGGCACTCGATCTCGAGAGGTGGCGAGAGCCATCAATTAGCAATCGATCGGACGAGATAAGCGACATGTGTCAACGAACCCACCAGAGCAGGTTGAGTACCTGTCTGTCTGTCTCACCTGTGAGAAAGGGTAGCTGGGAGAACCACATGGCCGGGTAGATAAAGTCCGTGACTCCGTGCTCCACGATGAGCTGATGGGCGGGCGTGTAGAAGAGGATATCGAAGCAGATAAAGTGGCCGAAGGTGACCCCGAAGTCCGTCTCGAAGGTGCTCAGCTCTGGCAGGTAGGTGCTGTTCTTGTTCTCACCGTACAGGTGCACCTTCCGGTAGCGGGACACCACAACGCCCTGACGATCAAAGGCCACATTGCTGTTGTAGGTGTTCAAGCCATTGGAGGCACAAGGCCTCGTGTCCTCCGGCACATCCTCGCACTTTTGCTTTTCGGTGAGATTGATCACCACATACTTGCTGGCATTGCGGGCCGCACAGGAGATGGTCACCAGAAACGCCTCATAGTGGGTGGCATTGGGATCGCTCAGGCAGGGAGCGATTTCGTCTTTGGGATTGGGCACAAATGTCATAGATCCCGAGCCATTCAGAGTGCTCTCAGGGAAGACTATGATGTCCGTGGCGCTGGCGTTCTCGGAGAGTATGATCTCCACATAGGCCTCCACGTTCTCCGTCAAACTGAGCACCGACTGGCGGAATTCCACCACTCCGGCCGTGTAGTAATCCGCCTCGGCCAGTGCCGCCTGGAAAGCCGGAGAACGTGGAAAGCTAATCAGACTAATAAACAAACAATTAATGTCCGATTAGCACGGCTTATCGGGAACCGGCAACCTGGAATCTCGAACCTGGAAACCCCCTAATCTCGTCACGCACCTGCTGACTCATGGCAGGCAGTAGCCCCAGGATAAGGCTTAGAAGAAGAGGCCGCCAAGAATTCTTTGCCATTGCCAAGTCCATGTCGATAACCGATTCTGCAATGTGCTACAATGACTTCCCCAGCCTCGGGCATTGCGGCTTTTATAGAGCTCTGGAACCCCTTCACCGGGAACCGCTTAATCTTATCTGGCGAACTCAATCGTTCGCTCTTTTCAGTGTTGATTTTGAGAATTACAATCCAGCTACAAATTGCAATTAAGTGGGTATTTAATATTTATATATTATTAAAAATATTTCGGTAAAAATGCAGAAGGACAACCTACGTATGAAGATATATATTTTCATACAAAAATTCTGGGATTAGTGACTCAAAGATGAAAGTTATTGAATGCCAGAGATGGCATATTAGTTAATACTATTTTAATTTCCTAGAATATATTTATAAATTATCTATAAAGAAACTAGTTTGACCCTAATATGTTATAAATAGTTGTAGTAAATTTATTGCTGCATTTCCATAGTTTTTTTTACGGTTTTCTCCCTTAAGTAGTTAGAAATATCCGTAAAAACGCTAAAAGTATAGCGAAAATGTCTAAAAAGCTCTCACTGTCCGCATCGCCTGAGTCTTGGTGGGTTATTCTGGTCGGGTTATTTTAAGAGTCATGTCCGCCAACCGTGATTACAGAGTTCGCTGTACATTGGACTGGCTCAGCTTGGGCCAACTATTTTTTCGCCAGTCTTATCGCCATGCCCCAGACTAGCCAAGTCCCATGTTTTCTTCGTTATTATATTTTATCAGCAAGTTGCAAATTAGTCAATCTCAGGGTCTATTTATTACAATAATATATTCCTATATTTATAATAATTTATTACTAAATGCATTCAATGCAGTATTTCTTTCATTGCCAATATTTGTGAAATTAATTGGACCTTAGCTGCCAGTCTCCGTAATTAGTTTAACTTGGCTTCTTTGATTTGTTTTTAATCTTTATGGCCAAGGCAATTTAGTTTTTATCAGCAAAACTTTTGTTAAATACTCGGAATTGTTTGCTTTTCGGAATTGTTGTCAATGAACGTTTTGCTGATAAGGCGGCTTACTTTTTTGAGTACCCTCGAAAGTGAAAATCGATGTATGACATGCAAATGACTTATCAAGTTTTATCTAATTAGATTTTAAAATCTACAAAAGGATATTTGAAATATCTAAGAACTCATTACCTTTTTACACAGGATTTCTTAAATATATATTTCCAAGTTTTTTACTAAACCAACCTCTCTTCCTTCCACTTCTTCCAGTTTACGCCGCCCAGCGTGACTCGTACAAATCAAAGGATATGAGCAGCAGTAACAATGCCATACCAAACACTGAGGCTGGAGGAGGAGGAGGATCTGCTGAGCAGGCAGCTGCTCCCACTGGTGTCGCCGGAAGCGGAAGCAGCAACAATGCCACCGGAAATAACAAAAATAGCCAGGCAGCCATCGGATCAGGCTCATCCTCTGCCTCATCATCATCGTCCTCGTCCTTGTCCGCCGCCGAATCCAATTCAATGACGACCGATGCCAGCAGGAGCTCCATCGGCAGTTCGACTACAATCGTTGGCATTCCCAGCAGCAGCCTGCACAAGGCCAGCAGCAGCAGCAGCTTTGGCAGCAGCAACACGTTCCCGTCGCAGATGGCATCCGGCATCAATCGCAACAGCATCGATCTGCTGGAGGAGGCCCGCAATGCGGGTCCCTACTTCGACCAGGCCTTCTCCAAGAACGTCACCGCCCTGCTGGGCAAGACGGCCTATTTAAACTGTCGCGTCAAGAACCTGGGCAACAAAACGGTGAGTGTGGCAGCACAGCATTTCTTTTATTGCCAATAAAATATTGCCAATGAAGCTGTGCATTTGATGAGAAGGAAAGACATTAAATATTTGTTAAATAGTGTGTGTTCTTCACAATCAAAGTGCTGAAGTCAAGTAAATTGTAGAAAAGATTAAGGAGATTTCACCTTTTTTTCAAGATTATTCTGCAAAACTAGCTCTAAAAAATACTAACTGGCAATCGTTTGACAATTTCTACACGTAATTATCGTGTAATTACTTTGTCGCTGCCAAATCAAAATGCGATTTGTGTCTGCGGTTGAGTTCCTCCTGTCCCACTGTGTACATTTCCCAATTTCCTTTTTTGGTTCCTAATTAGCACGTTGACTGCACCCACATGGTTGTTTTTTTTTGGGGGTGGCCTGCTGGCTAATTGTTCCGCTTGCCAGAGAACAAAATGATTAATTATACCCAAACAGGAAACAGATTTTACTTGATTCAACTTTTCGTCGTGAGCGGAAGGAAGTGCCGCAAACATTTCACAAACACAATCTCCAGAACCACTGCTACCATTTCCACTTCCGGCCGGAGGGGCCTTCATCCACCTGAGCAGCAGAGAAAAAAAAACTATTCAAATGAGGGAAAAAGGCCCCGAAAACGCCTTTCGTTTTGTTTTTCTGGCTTTTCTCGCTCGCCCGGCTGGAGTCCAGTTAGTTAGGGGCCCGTAGTCATTCGGCTTCCGTCACTTCCGGCGGCGTCGCCACCGACCGGAGAAGGTCCCTGGCCGTTTTTCCGATAATAATATGTTACATGTCCCGGCATTCTGGCTCTGAGCGGGTATCGGGAGGCGGGCGGGTTTCCCGCTGCTCCCATTTTGCAGCGAACTTTCTGGCAGGCTGTGATTAGCCCGGGTTTGGGGCTTGTTTGAGTTGCGGTTTCGAAAACTAATTTGCGTGATTATTAAATTCTAGAGAATGGGCGAGCACAGGCAACCTCAATTTGGGGCGGCTGAAGGCTTTTCACCTTGCCATAGGACAATGTTCAAGTTTTTCTTGCACCACGACAATGTGGGGCAGACCTCTTTTTGCCAAGGATAACTTCATTAGATGTGCTAAGTGGGATAACTTCATCGAACTCTGGGTCTATATGTTTCCTGGAGCAAGAGTTAATTAATAAGAAAACTCTTCAAATTTCCTGAAAACTTATTTGTTTGGTGTGAAATTTATGCAAAAAGGAAGGAAATAGGTTTTAGGCAAATAAATTTTAAATGGTATTTAATTAATTAATATAGGAAAATATATAATAATTAATAGTATTATGTTTGTTCTTCTAAAGCAAACATTAATTTATGAAATTAAGCTAATAAACCCTCATTCCAGACATCTTTTAAAGAACAATTCTTAACGCTCAGCAAAAGTAAAATCCTATTTTGCCAGACAGCTTCAGAAAGTATCCATTTCTGGCTCATCAGCTACCTTAAAAAATACGAAAAAACACCACAAACCGAGAGGCATTAGGCAACCTGTAAAATATATTCATTACCTTCGTGTGGCAGCTTAAAATCTAATTAGCTTTCAGTTCTCTGCGGCATGCCACAAGCGTAGCCACAAGTCCACCCCCAAAATATCACCCACTTCCGCGCCTCAGTTTTTTCCCCCCTACCCCGGGCCGAAGTAATACATCATTCCTGCTGAGATTTGGCAGCATCTGGGCCGAGAGCTAAGCTGCTGCGATGCTGAACTGCAAAGGAGGAGGAAAAAAAAAGATAAAGAGAAATCCTTCTGTTTTATGCTCGTGTACATATACGTGTGCTCTTTGCTTCACACCGTCTATAATGATAAACAGCGAACGGATGTTGATGGTCTCTGCATTATTAATGACGTTTTTCATTTGCGCTTTGCTCGGGGAAAGCTTTATGTTTTAATGCCAGCCCCGCATACAGGCACATCGCCATTTTTCTCATACTTCTATGGAAATAAAGAAAACCATTTAATGGCTGTGTGGATGGATGCTTCACAAAAAAGATAGTGCTTTATTTATGTTTTGAAAAGGTATTTCATGTCGTGTTTTCTTTTTACTAGCTTTGCAAGGACACAAATACAGGGGTTATTGGTTTTACTTAAGGATTGTAATGCCCCTAGGGGGGTTTATAGTTTATTTATAGGAATTACATTTCATATTTAATAAATCAAAGTGATAGTAAACATTTCAAAGTAATGATTTAATATTTCCCAATACTTTTATGCTGCTTTTACAAGCCAAAAATCATGAAATTGCGATTAATATTTGAAAGCTGTTTAATGCGATTTGAAAATACAATTCATATGCTTAAATATTTCTCAAGACTCCCGCTAAATTATCCACATTTTGCCATCAATTTTCACCTCAAAGCCCAGCAAAAAGGTGCCAAGAAATTGATGTACCTTTACTTGACTTCACAAATTGAGCTATAAAAGAATTTTTCAGCAGGGAAAATGAAAGAAAATATTGATATGCTAAAAATTTTACGATACTGTAAACAAGCTTAATGCGCATATAAAAATCTAAGGGAGGAAACTCCGAGGAAAATTTCTGCGACTGAGGGAGGAGAAGGAAAAGTTGATGCTGCCCTTGCTGCCTTCTTTCACCCACTCCTTTGGCAATTGTGTGCTTGAGGACTTTTGGTGTTAATTACATGCAAATTTGCTTAAGCAGCTGCCAAAGTTTACCTTTGTGTCTGGCAACTAACACCTGGTCCAGGGACACCTACCTCCTATCATCGCCCACCCCACCTTCCTTCCTCTCCAGAGTTTCTTGGCCATTAACTTTGCCAAAAGTCCTCCTTGTCCTGGGCGTCGTCGCTCATCGTTGGGCAGGATGTTGCTAAGCTGTTGTCATTGAAATTGAAAATATTCAGCTAGCAGCTGACGTATGACACGCAACACGGCCAGGCGTATCCCCGCCCACAGTCACCTTTCAGCGGAAAACCATTCCATTTGCCGGAGGCAACCCCTAAATCAGCGTCACTTAAAAATGTTGCGCCTCCTGGACAGGGAAACTTGAGCATTAAACAGCAGGTGGTTTCTGAAGGCGGTGTTTCAGGCGTGGTCACACGAGCACACCAGAAAAAAATAATGCTAAGGGTTTATAAATAAGGGAAGATATTTGCTATATATATACTAAGACATTGGAAAAGCCATTTTTGAGTTTATATAATTCAGAACTTAACTTATTCATGATCAATGAAAGATCTTTTATTAAAATAATGTTTTTGCAAGAAGTCTTTATGTGTAGAGGGTTTATTTTTACGTACATTAAATTATTGATGTAATAATTTCCCTTTTTAATATTTAAAAAAAGAGATTTGACACGCAAACAGCTCTCTTTTTTTTTTTCCTGTGTACAAACATTTGTGTTGTCGTGTGTGTTACATTCAATTTGTCAGGGGCCAGGTTGTCTGGCAAAGGACTCTTCGCATTTGTCCCTGCAAAGGTTTCCCCCTACGGCACACACAGCGAAACACAAACAGAAAATGAAAAAAAATCATATAAAATATTTCAAAATAAATTTGCATTTTACACGTGTGTGTCTGACACAAAAGGCAACCCCTCAGTGTGCGGCTCATTCGAGCAGCTGCGTATGAAATTGACTTTTTAAACTGTTTGCCAAACAAATGAAATCTGAAATCTGAAGACTCTCTCCTTCTCCACCTTGGAATATTTTAGATGTTGCTTCAGGTGTCCTGGGTGCGGCACCGGGACATCCATTTGCTGACTGTTGGCCGATACACGTACACCTCGGATCAGCGCTTTCGGGCCATTCATCAGCCGCAAACCGAAGACTGGATGCTGCAGATCAAGTACCCGCAACATCGCGACTCTGGGATCTACGAGTGCCAGGTGTCGACCACACCCCACATGAGTCACTACATTCACCTGAATGTTGTTGGTAAGTTGGTTTAATTGAGACTCTTAAGTATAAACTAAATATAAATACTATAAATACTCCCTAAATTTCACTGGAAATGTAATTGAAAAGATTTCACTTTCATCCTCCCGAGACGCTAAAGTTTTCACATTAAATTATCATTGAATTAAGTAACAGAAGAACGAAGTGTAAATGCAAAATATTTCCATCTCATTCTTTGCGCATTTCAATTGCTTCGTTTCAAAAGGATGGAAATCATTTCTCCTCTTGCTTGGATTTTCTTTGAAATTCCCACGCCCCTCCACGCACTTTTGAGTGCCCCAAGGGCAGCGAATCTTTCTCTTAGCTAATTGTTATTTTATTCCAGCTGAATTCCGAATAAAATTGTTTTAATTACACTTTTTTAATTGGGTTCCTTTCGTTCGCAGAACCTTCAACGGAAATTATCGGGGCTCCCGATTTGTATATAGAAAGCGGTTCAACTATAAATCTCACCTGTGTCATACTCAACTCACCGGAGCCGCCGGCCTATATCTTCTGGAATCATAATAATGCTGTAAGTCTGAGTCCTGTAACCGTAAGCCAATGCCAGTTGCCAGGACACGCAATTACTTTGGGGCATCATTATCGCTTCCACCCGCCAGAAGTCTGGGCACCCTTTAGTGTTCAATTTAGTAACTTTTAAATTAGCTTTGCCGGGCAAAAACTTTCCCTCTTTCGAATTTCGTCTTACTTTCTTTATATATATTTTTTTATAAGGAAATGCCATTTAAGGAAGGAAGTTGGCTGGGAGCTTGAGAAAAAGGGTTCTGGCTGGGGCTTTAAATGGATTTCGGTTTTGTTTGGTCTGAGCCACGTTTTAGTTTCCACTTTAGGTGTTTTCCTCACACTTCATGGATGGCTTATTGTACGGAGCAACAATGCCACAAGGGTTGACGGTCTCCAGCAGCCATTGTTATGGGTTTTCTATAGAAAAGGGGGAAAAAAATATTGCCATTAGTGCGGGGGGATGGGTTCTTCCCTCTTTTTTACTTGTGCCCTCGACAGATTTAATTTTATTGTTTTGCTTCGGTTTTATTTGCAATCCTGGCTCTTCCCTTACTTAGCATATTTTCGTCGGCTTTTCTTTTCTTTCCTTTCCTTGCCATATTATCTCTCCGCCCACCGATTTTAATTTGCCAAGTGTGCAACAGTGCGTATGCGTAATCTGGCCTCTGGTTTATGGCTTAGAAAATGTTATGACCATCCGGCCGAATGCCGGGCCAATTTGTAGAAAAATACTTTATGACTTTCGGAAGTTTCCCTCTCATCCGCAGATTATCAACTATGATTCGCCGCGCGGCGGCGTGTCGGTGGTCACCAATAAGGGCGATACGACCACGTCGTTCCTTCTAATTAAATCGGCGCGTCCCTCGGACTCGGGGCATTATCAGTGTAATCCATCAAATGCAAAGCCCAAAAGCGTTACCGTACATGTGCTCAATGGTAAGTAAAATCAACGACAACACAAACACATTGACAAAATCATTTGAAGACACAGGACATTCAAAAAAGTAAAACAATGGGGAGGCAACAAAAAACCGAAAGGGAACTGCACAAAAATGTGAATAAAACAATGGGAATGCTAATGGGTAAATGCGATGGCAACATACATATAATAGGTTAAGGGGGCTGATGAGATTTTGAATAAAAAACGGGGTCACTCCCTCTCCTTTAGTTCAATAAAATCAAAAAGGAAATGGTATAATAATGCAGAAAAAAATGTTTGAAATCGGATTGGTTTGTGTAAAGAATCAGGAGTAAAACAAAATCAAACAGTTAATGCAGTTACAATGAAAATTAAATCTTAAATTCAGAACAGCAAGTAAAGATTTTTGCAAATAACAAATAAATAAGGGCCTTCGTTATTTTAAAGATTGTTTCTTTAAGAGGCAGGAGAACTCAAGGACTTCTTAAGTAGCTATTGACTAAATTCAAAAGAATTAAAATATTACTGTAACCCAGGGAGTGTCCATGTAAATACCGCTTTAAATTGTGAGAACTGAAAGTTAAATGCAGAAATTCGCTAAAGAATTTCTGTCGCAAAACGTTGAAGATTCCAATCCCCTTAGGAGCAGCTAATACTGGCCACCAGGCCTGAGTCAGCGTATCAATGGCTTAAAATCTGTCCAAAGGCAGCCATAGAAATTGCAGCTGCTAAAGCTCCTCGGGGCAGCCCAAGAAGTGACACAGAAGCACGGAAAGATCCAGGGCAGCTACAAAAAAAAAAAGAGTCCAACACCCAGCAGGGTGCTAAGTACTGTCACAGATAATCGAAGGGTGGAGACGGAAGAGGTGACAATAAATGTCTGACAAAGTGTTGTTTAAGCCCGGCGAAACTACGACAAAATTTCAGCAAAATTACGTTGAAACTACAGCGAAACATCAACAAGACAGGAAAGTAAGAGTTCAGGGGTATCGATTCGGAAACCAATGAGCAAATATTGATTATACGAGGATAGAAATTGAAGGGGGGGAGGCATCTATTTCAATATTTCCACGTATTTCCTAAACCAGCTACCAGGCGAGAGAGAGAGTTCAGCTAAGTGAAAACTGCTAAAAGTGGCACGTGAAAATCATAGAGAATGGAGAGACAGTTGGTCGTCGTCGGCGGTTCCCTCTTGTTGTTTCCCCCCACCAGCCGTATAATCATTATCCACAGAGCCCCCCACCCCATCCATTTATCCCCATCTGCCAACCACTCTGGCAGCCATCAACATTTGCCGAGCGAGTCCTGGCCAGGAGGTAAAATCTGAAATGAAGGGTATAAACTAACAATCAAGGAGTTGGTTAGCTTAGGAAAAGGATTTGTTGTGAATTACTAAAGAATATTCTAAAAAAACACTAAAAGAGTAACCTTTATAAGTGTCAATATGTCAAAATATTTAATATTTTAAACTGGTATTATTCAATTTAAATATATTATCTGTTATATCATTTACTCTAAAAGCAGAGTATTTAAATGCACTTGACTTTAGGGGTCTTGCCCCCGCCGTATCTGGTACGCGTGCCACATGAAAACTATGTTTATGTTACGCCTCCCCGCCTACCACCGCTAAGTGGATGGAAAAACTTACTCGCAGCAGCAGGGAAAGTAGGAAAAGCAAAAGCAGCAGCGGCAGCAGCAGTTGCTGCACGCCACTTCCTTTGCGACTTTCACTAATGTCAAGTTGTCGTCGTTGTCGGAGCAACCGTGTCTGCTAGATAATGTCACACGGCGTTGTCTTTTCGCAAAGCACACACACAATTATGCATGCACTGAGAGAAAAAAGATCTTAATTATTTATGGGAAAAAAAGAAGAAAATGTATAAAAACTTTGTATGTTTTATTTTATTACAAATAGAAATATCAGTTGTTGCTAAAATAATGAGGGGTATATAAACATATATATTTAAAGTTTATTTTTTAATTAAGCTAAGTTAAATTTAATTTGTTTAATCAAGTAATTCAAGTGATTTTAAGGCATTAAAAATTAGTTATTTTCAAATACAAATAAGGCATAATTGAGGCATAATTTAAATCAGGCTTTTCAGCATTAGTCTTTTTCATAATTTCTTAAATAAAATATAAAATGTCCCCTAATTGTTTCCAGTGCATTAACCAGCTTTAGGGGTGTGCGTGAGGGGCACTCATCCCTGTCAGCATATTGCGCATGCAATGCGCGTTGTTTCCGTTAACTGCTTTAGCACACTTGTTTCTGATTATTATTATGTTTCGTCTCTTGTTCTGCTACTTTCGCCATTGTTCCTGTTGCCGTTACATTTGTTTTTGCTTTGTTTTGTTTTGCTTTGTTTTGTTTGTTATTATTATTATTATACGCCCGTCAACGGCGTTGTTTCTGCCATTCCTGCTGTTGTTATTTCTGTCTTTGTTGCGTTGCAGTTGAAAGTTTATCCCTCTTACTTTCCTTTCTTGTGCTTACTTTTGTTACCTGTATACACCTATACTATAAGAATTGTTTTCTTGTTGTCTGCCGACATTCGACATCATCGGGATCAGAGCTTTGCAGTTTTCGCTTGGGTTCGCTGTCAGACTTTCAGGTTTTTAGACTTGTCCCAGGAAGGACTTCAAGTGCAAGTTAAGTCCTGCATCTGCAGAGCGTTGAAATTGCTTTTGTTGACTTTTTTTTAAGTAGAATCAAAACTTTTTAAGTTATTGTTAATGGAAGTAAAAAATTCTGGCATTATTTGATATTATTTGGTGTAATTTTAGTCAGAAGTTTGCAATGCAGTGAAGTTATTTCCGACCCTATAAAGTATACATGCATATTCTTGATGAGCATGAACAGTCGAGTCGATCTAGCCATATCCGTCTGTCCGTTTCTAGGCAAACTAGTCTCTTAGTGTTTGTGAAAGTGAATTAAATATAAAAGATGATGGATAATAATATTCATGGATTTAAAAAATACAAATATATTTAATCTTAATCTTAATTAAAAACAAGTGTGTGAGTATAACAACACAATCCAACAGATAATCTCTGTATTTTTTAAACTCTATATTTGCAAATACGACTTTTGACCCAAGTAAAGCCTTGTTTAAAATTCTTTGTGTATAAATCTCAACGCTGTTTGCAGGTGCATTCGTAGCTTTTGCACCTGTATTTCTATCTCTTCCAGTAAGTTGCAAACAGTCAACGGTTTCATTGTGTCTGTGTGTTGACTTTATTCTGAGCCGCAGAGCGGAGGATCCTTTTTGTTAGTTTGTTTGGCTGTTTGTTTGTTGGCCTGTTGTTTTGACTTTGGCGACAATCTTTGTATTGTTTTCAGCTTTCTGTTTATCTGTGCAGTTTTATTGTTTGACAGCTCTTTGGTTATCACCACCGGCTCCCCTTTTGTGTGGATCTGTTAATCCGGTTAGTGTGGGGGGGATTATGTGGCATTAAGGACATAGGATATAGGGGGAGCGAGCCAGTTTCCCCTTTTTTGAAGTGAACTTGGCAAGGTTACTTGATACATGGAGGGAAATAAAGATTATAAAAATGGTTGGAATTTTATTTTGAATATTAAATGTGTCTTTTTTTAATATTTTTGTTAATTTTTAAAATAAATATATTGTACGTTTATTAAGGGGTTTAAATTATATAAAGCATACCATATATAATATATACAATATTGCTGAATCCTCCAGCAGACCGAGCTGATTCTTACCTCTCTTTTATAAGTACACTTTCATCGATTTTATTTACAAGTCCTTGCCAATTTCGGTGGGACTTCCCCCAAGGCCTGCACACACACTCAACCCCACTCACAGTCACCGCCATTTTCAGACACTACTTAACGACTTTTCTGTTGCCCCCAAATGTTTGAGTATGAGGACAGCAATAAAGATGTAAATTAAACAGGTGTTTCCCACTCCGTTTCCAGGGGAGTTCCCAGCAGCAATGCAGCACGCGGCACCAGCGCATCCTCGCCCCTCGCCCACTCGCTGTCTGTTTGTGTACCTGTGTGTGTGCTTCTTCAGCTGGGCGCTTGCCGGTGGATCGCTGCGCTGCTGGGCACCGCTCTTTCCACGCCCCTGCTCTCGCCGGCCAGGCGGAGGAGCCGGGAGGCTCGAGGAGCATCAGGAGAAGCGTCGTCAGGACATGCGCTGCAACACATCCTCGCTAGCGTTTTGAGACTCCAGCGCTGGCGATGGCAATGGCGGTGGTCTGGTCGCTGGCACTGGCTGAGGATACTAGGACAGTGGAGGCAGCAGGAGCGGGAGCAGGAGAACTTTCGCCTGTCCTGGCAGCAACTGAAACTACAATCAAGAACGGAGACGGCAACGTGTAGGCAACTCTTCGAGACGGACATCAGGTGAACTCACCCACTGCTGGCTGCCACGCCCTCGAGGCCACTCTTAACTCAACCGTAAGCTGTAACTATAATAACTATAAAGCGTATACATATAAACCATAACTTTACTGGCTACTGCGTTTTCTATGAATCAGCGACGTATACGTAATATTTAGCACAAAAACCAAAACGAAAGAAACGTAAAGTATGAAATATGATACCTATACCTATGCTAGAGATAATGTCAAGATCAAGATCGAAATCAAGCCAAGTTGTCGCCTTTTTTATGTACGACTTTGTATCATACAATGAAGCTATCTAAGTCCTTGGTTCCCCGTTCCCCCTAGATTTGGAAATTGTGTAAATAGGCTGCATAGCATACCTAGAGGCGCTTTTTCAATCGACTCTTTCCGACCTTCGATACTATTTTATAGCTGAAAACTTAACCGAAACCAACCTTTCAAAATAGGCTAATGAAACGAAAAAAGAAAACAAAATACAGTAATATATTTTCCAGAACAGGAAACGCTTCTCGACTGCCACTTTGTGACTGTTCCCCCGAAGGCAAAGCGAAATTCTCATTTGCATTTTGCGAAATCCTAATAGACAGATAAATATTCAACCGAAAGGCAATTAGCAGAACGCAAAACTAAAAAAAAAAAATTCAACTTCAAGTACAGGCTAAAAGCAGAAACAGAAATTAAAACGAAAAAGAAAACCAACACTGTGTAAAATATAAAAAGGAAAACTAAGGCAAAGGAAAAACTAGCTACAAAATAAGAGAAAGGGAGGAAAAACAGAACTCGTCGAGGGGAGAATTTTTCTTTTGGCTGCATCTGAATGGTTAGAAATTAAGTCATAAAGTATTTGAAAAGAGCAACCCTCGAATAAGTTGTTTCGTTTCGTTCTTGTGTAATGTACAAATTGAATAAACATAAGTATTACTACCCAGCGTGCAGAGGACGGTTTGAATTTAGGATACAATCGGCAAGGATGGAAAATTGTTGCACATTTCATACATTTATTTGTTGTTACTCGATGCGAGCAAAAATTAGTCAAGTGTTTAACGAAACGAAAACAGATACATTAAGAATTACCTAGGAGAGTAAAGGTATTTTACATCTAACTAAAATGTTGAATTTTTCATAATTATTCTGATCTTTTTCGAGTATTTTTCACGAATCGTTTTCCATTTCCTCTCTTGGTTGCCACTCTGTCATCACACCAAACTTTGCCATAGAGCACGTAAAGCTAACTGAATATATAAATGAAAAATACCAATAAAATCCAAATGTTACACAGAAAAATAAAGCAAACAAAAAGGTATTGATAAAAATTAAAGTAAAAGGGAAATGTTTCATTAATCAAGCTAAGCAGTAAGCAAAACATAAAACTAAACAAAGATAACAGACAGAAAACAAAGAGAACTATTCAAACCAAGCATGAGTGTTCAGAGGTTAAATCAAAGCAAATCCAACCCCGTCATGTTTTTCACAGGCTTTTTTCCAACTACCATGTAAAATATCCACAAAGCGAATAAACATTCAATATCTATTCATACGAATTTTCATGCGAGTAAAATCTGTTTAAATTGTAAAGGCTACAAAAAAATGGAATTCAAATTAGAATTCGCATTGTGTTTGATGAGGCGTTTCATGGTTATATTCGATATTTATTGCAGAATGTTGTCAAGCGGTTTTGATTATCGTGTCAAGTGAAATATTTAAATATTTAAGGTGTTTTCCCCATCACTCTGCTCAGTCAAATTCTGTCTACATTTCCACTTTCATCAGACAAGTTCGTAAAGGTAACTTTAAATCTAAGCAAAAATAAGATAAAAACATGAAATGAAAACTAAAAGACCGCATGAAACTGAAGTAAATATATTATATATGTAAATGTGTATTTATAAAACTAATATATAAAGAAATGCTATATATATACATTAAAGAAACCTAGTTTATTTAACACAACCCCCCCAAGAATCAACAATGTTATTAAAGCTAAAAGAAAACATAACATTTGAAAGTAACCTTCAATTAAATATGAGCCACACAGAAATACGATAAACGAAGAGAAACTTTTAAAAGTGTAAGAATTTAATTGAATGAATGAGAGAAACCTGAAAATAAAACAAGGATTAACTGAAAAAAAAAAGAAAACCGAAAGAAACTAAAGCATATTATGTCAACTGTTAATTGAGTTGTTTTAATGGTCAGCTGCGTGGGCGGAGGAGGAGGGAGGGTTAATGGCCCGAACAAATGTGTAATAAATTATGCGTAAGTAAAAGTGAGACTCGAGTCTACAACTAAATGCTGGACAAACAAAGGGGCAAGCCATTTTTCATGCCCAGTACAAAGGACGATGCCAGAGGAGGACCAAGCGAAGGGGGGTTGTGGCATAAGCGATAATATAATGAAACGGGATTAATCATACGACATGTAGGCCAGCCAGCCAGTCAGCCATCTAGCCCAGGGGGCGGCATAATGAATGCCGAGTCCTTGCAGCACATTACACACACATTTCCCGGGTTAACATCATGTTGTGCTCGCCGTAACTTAGAGCCCTTACACCGTTACGTGCCATTACGTTACGTGCGGCCTTACGTTGCTCGCTTTTAATAAATATTAGCACATAGTTAAACAGTTGAGTGAGCGCTGATGGAAAATCAATATGTGTACACATACAGGTCTCTAGGCTTCCTTAATGGCCGCTGCGAAAAATATGCTACATACACATTTACATTTTATTGACGAAAAGTTTCGCGGAAAAGCGGAAAACCGTGGGTCGGACTTCATGCAAAACCACTCAAGGACAAGTGGGCAATAAGCGAAAAACTTTTATTTTTTTATGTCGACAAAAGTTTTTGCTTTCCCCAGTGTGCTTACACAGAGAGAAAAATAATTCAACACAATAATAAAAACTTTAAAACTAATCAGCTTTTTGTATAGCATTTGAAATGTATTTTGTTTACATTTTGTTATTTATATATTTCTGTTTTTTTCTTAATAACATATTTTTTAGTTTTTGTCACATTTAACTTTATTGTTCTATCTGTAATCCTCATCAAGATGGCGACAACATCATGTTTCATATATTATGTCCAGCCATATAATTTCCTCTCCCGTATGCATGACTTTCCACACCCCCTCGACCCACATTAACCCCCTCAATACCCTACCAAGCCACTGTCCCCTAACCATGTGTAATTCGGCACTTTCGAGTCCTGCAACTGCAAAATGCAATTGGATGCAGTGGCAGTGGCAATGGCACAGTGGCTCTCATGTCGCTACTGCAAGTGGGCTGGGGGCGTGGCAGGCCCCGCATTATAATGCAGCAGCTGTACGGTGCTGTAGGTGTTAATAGCCTGTTTATGGATGTTGCGCAATGTGTGAATCCTGCACCAGTCAAACCAACGGCATGCGGTCTAGAAAATTGGGTTTTGAGTTGGATTAGTGTCCAAATGCCCGCCCACCGTGTTGGAAGCTGGATTTTAGACACAAAGGAACGATGGATCCATCAAACAGATGGCATCAACTTGATTGGTTAGGCCAGGATCCAAATTGGTAATTAGTCAATGCGGAATTGGGGAAAATAATTGAGGGGGGAATCCATATTAGATCAGTTACGAACAGCTTTGTATAGGCTTTTGTGGAGAATCTGGCAAGTTATGGGTGTCTTATTAAAATTTAATTTAATTTCCTAATTAGCATTGCAATGATCTTATGGAGATAGAATTAATGTATTAAGCTATGAAAATAAGCAGCCTTTACAGGTAAAATATTACACAATATGTATTAAATATATTTTTAATATATAATCTTTAGGTTCTTACTTTGCTTGACCACTTAAATTGTTAAATTAAAATTGTTCTTATGTCTTATTTTCATTTTCCCCGGTGTTGAATGCTGACATAACTTCACTCTTACAGGCCCCCCTCTACAGTTGTTTATTTTTCAGCCAGTTTTCAGCGTCAAAAATCCATATATTAATACAAGAAAACGAAAGCATTTCATATAGAGGAGAGGTGGTCCTCGCTCGTCTCCCATCATCAGTCAGTTGGGCCAATTGGGGCAAGATAAAAAAAAGAATAACATGAAAAGGTAAACAATATTTCAGAGTTTCGACCTGAAAAATACCCTGGCTTAGGTTTTAGTTAACACCCATTTTAAAATCTAATTAAAACTAAGATATAAAGATACTAAGTTATGTATTGATTTTAAAAGAAAACAAGAAAGGAAGCTAACTTCGGCACGCCGAAGTTTGTATACCCTTGCAGATTGGGTTCGATGTTTATATTATAGATTTAAATGCTGAAAAGACTCCCTAACAGTGTTTCATTACATTTTACCTATACTTATTATGCTTACAGTTTGACAGTTTCAGTTTTACATCCCAGCATTACATATTTTATACATTCACCGATCGCTTCTATGGCAGCTATATGATATAATTGTCCGATTTTTATAAAATTTATACCAAAATTCTAGAATAATAAAAAAAGCTTATATCTCAGAGTAAATAAAAATGCGTTGAAAAACAACGAAGCTATAATTTTATTTCTATTAATTTCTCGATCGTTCCTATGGCAGCTATATCATATAGTAGTCCGATTTTCATAAAATTTTAAACAAAATTCAGGAATAATATATATAGGCCACATCTAAAAAATGGTGCAAAAATATTGAAAAAAGCAAAGTTATAATTTTTTTTCGAAAAATATATCGAACATTTGTATGGCAGCTATATGATATAGTCGTCCGATCCGGCCCGTTCCGACATATATAGCAGTGAGAGCATATAGAAGACTATATGCAAAGTTTCATTCAGATAGCTTTAAAACTGAGGGACTAGTTTGCGTAGAAACAAACAGACGGACAGACGGACAGATGGACAGACGGACAGACGGAAATGGCTAGATCGACTCGGCTGTTGATGCTGATCAAGAATATATATACTTTATAGGGTCGGAAACGTCTCCTTCACTGCGTTGCAAACTTCTGACTGAAATTATAATACCCTGCAAGGGTATAAAAACCAACAGATTTTATATTTCACCTTTCATACTTTTCCGTAACTACCATATACCCTTCAGAATTCTTCAGAATACAGGGTATAAAAACCAGCTGGCTCATATGGATGTAAACTTGTTGTCGGCTTTCCTGGCTGCTGCAGTTTATGGCCGTAATACATTCCGGCCGGGCTCTACGTCCCGGGCTCTCTTCACGTTTGTCTTTCTCAGTTATTTGCGGCTTTTTTCGGCCGAAAAGTTATTGAATTGTTACAGCAGCCACTTGTGATAAATCAATGACAAGGCGGCCGGCAAAATCTGTGCGTTAATAAATGGAGGCCGAGAGCCGTGCGGTTTATTTAATTTACCATAAATATGTATGTATGCACATTTGTATGTATGAGAGTCCTGGCAGAAAGGCCATCACTCAGCAGATTGATTCCGGGGAAACCATTGCTTAATTAAGGCCAAGCTGAGGGCTCTCTCCATCCGATTCCATCTGCATTTCGCCCAAAAAACACAATCTGCCCACACGGAAAGTATTTTATTAGATTATACGCCCAGCTGAGCAGCTCCAAGATAATCAGCATTAAAATAAATGTACATATATGCAATAGGAAAAGTTGCAGCTGCCTATGAATGTGCTTATATACTTACGTTTATGAGCAGCACTGTAGAAATAAATAAAATATTTGA